GGGGAGCCCATAGTGGGGGCGGCCCGGCCCGCAAAGTGCGTGTCCCTCCCGCAGCTTCGACGGGGACGACTTCGACGATGTGGAGGAGGATGAGGGCCTGGAGGACCTGGAGAACGCGGAGGAGGTGGGTGCACCTCCGGTACCGCAGGCCTGCACCGGGGCCCGGCTAGGCTGTTGCCGGGGCTGGGGAAGGCCACGGGGGCTCTCCCAGCACCGCGGGGCCTCGCTGGTGGGTGCAGGCGAGCTGCAGCGCTGGTCTGCTTTGACGACTTCGACGATGTGGAGGAGGATGAGGGCCTGGAGGACCTGGAGAACGCGGAGGAGGTGGGTGCACCTCCGGTACCGCAGGCCTGCACCGGGGCCCGGCTAGGCTGTTGCCGGGGCTGGGGAAGGCCACGGGGGCTCTCCCAGCACCGCGGGGCCTCGCTGGTGGGTGCAGGCGAGCTGCAGCGCTGGTCTGCTTTCCCCAGGAGGGACAGGAGAACGTGGAAATCCTCCCCTCAGGAGAGCGGCAGCAGGCGAACCAGAAGAGAATCACTACCCCCTACATGACCAAATACGAGCGTGCCAGAGTCCTGGGCACTCGTGCCCTCCAGATAGCGTGAGTATCCTGAGCATCGCCGCAGCTTCTCCTCCCTTTCCTGTTAAAGCTGCTTTACTCCTTCCTTAAAAACTCCTGGATCTCATTTAATCCCTTACACGGCTGCTGAGCTTGCGGATTGCCATCTTGGTCAACGCCAAAGCACAGGACTGTGGAGCCCTTAGCTGTGTGCAAAGTCTCTATATCTCTCCCTTGCTGAGACTGCGGTACTTGTGCCTAGGAAGGGGGGCATTCAGCACCTGCAAGGAACCTTCCTAGGTCAGAGGCAAAACCAGTAGGGGATGTGACAAGCTGATCCTGGTTTCTGACTTTCATAAGGGAGCCAGTGTGGGCTGGAAAGCTCAGAACGGGTTTGCAAAAGCCAACATTGGAGCCAGGGATGCTCCAAAACGTCTTCAGTTGATACAATAGGGCTGTAAGAATCGGGAATGGAGTAACCAACCTGAAATCTGTTTTAAATGCAATTGCATTGTGGCAAGCTGTAAGGTTTTTTTTTTTTTAAAAGCATTTGGAGCAGTGGGACCTCATTTATAGTGGGTAATAACATTTAAATCCTATTTTAAGTGCGCTTAAGGTTGGCTGCTCTCAACTTAATCCATTTACCTGTCTAGACTTGAGGGTGGTGAAACACTGGAAGGGGTTGCCCAGAGAGGTGGTGGAGGCCCCATCCCTGGAAACATTCAAGGCCAGGTTGGATGGGGCTCTGAGCAGCCTGATCTAGTTAGCGGTGTCCCTGCTCCTGCAGGGGGGTTGGACTAGATGACCTCTAGGGGTCTCTTCCAACCCAAAACATTCTATGATTCTATGACTTGTTTTAATAATATATATCAAAAAGTTTTGCACTTTTTGAAAAACTGCCTTATGAGTGAGATTATTAGTCTGTGGCAAGGTTTATCTGAAAGCACGTCTCTGAGTTTCATCTTGGTTATATCCACCCTCAAAATAACGCCTCTCTCTACACTGTTTAGAAGCTCGCAGGTGGTGATCAGATCTTTCCTCAGTCGTTACTTTGCCAAGCTATTCTTTGCACAGTTTTCACTTTGTAGCTGTTTTGTGCATGTTCTTTACACTGGTGGAAGGCCAGAAAAATAGGGGAGATGAGATGGGTCCGTGCCAGGCCTTTAAGCCAAAGCACTCTGGCGCCTGGTTCTGCTTCACCTACATATTCTGCCTTCGGTGCTGAACCTAGGCCAGCAGCAGCCCCCAGTGGCCTTATCCATGCATAACGTGAACTTTCTTTGCTGCTGCTGTCTAATGGGTGGATATCATCCCCCATGTTTGCTCTGCTGTTACAACCCCCTGCAAAATGCTTAATTTTTTCTTTCTAGAGGTAGAGTGCATGGTAAATCCAGCTCCTTGTTTTCCCCCAAACAAACCCTGGAAGTGTGAGCAAGTCAGAACATAAGAGATGTGCTGGAGTTAGAGGCATGTTCATTTTACAGAGTTTCCACCCTCTTTATTGGATTTATTTTAGAACCACTCTTCCTTACATTTAAGTACAGCAGAGGGTGGATAGAAAGGTGTGCATCTGACCAGCTCTCAAGTGCCAGCTGGTCAGCAGAGGCTGAGGGATGGGGCAAGAAGAACAGTCAAGTAAAAGCTCTGTCCTTAAGCTTTTTGGGGAATTTTCTTCCCAAAGTGCCTAAGAGAGCAAATCAGATTTGCCAGGGTGGTGTCCCACCCTCCTACTTTACTGGCCGTTGTCCAGATGACATGGGTAGGCGCATGCTTAGCTGTCCCTTCTCCTTCTCTGTATGTTCTCTCAAATGATTGTTGCTCTGTCCCAGGATGTGTGCCCCTGTGATGGTTGAGTTGGAAGGAGAGACAGACCCCTTGCTGATCGCCATGAAAGAACTCAAGTAAGTCCCAGACTTTGATGGTGAGTGTATTGATTTCCATAAAGCAAGCAGTCCTCTCCTTATCCCAGCATTTAGCAGCTTATTCCAAGACAACCCTGTCTTCCCTCCATAACAGTGAGCGCTACCGTTGCCTTCCCCTTTTTCACCTTGGGACTGCTCCACAGCTGCTCTCTCCCATCCTAGTTGCTTGTGCAAAGTACTGATGATGAGGAGTGCTCTGACCTCTTTTACTTCAGAGTCCAAGGGTTCTTTATTTCTACGATGAGAACCCAAGATTCTCATCTTTCTGGAATTGGTTTAATTCCCTGAATGGAACTGAGTTGAAGCAGCCATCTGAACAGACCTGTGTTCACGTGAAGTCTGGCAAACATTAAAATAAAGGCCAGGCTGGTGGTGTGGAGACTCTGCTAAGAATGTTCTTTTCCTACACCTTCCATTATTGTGCTTGTGAAGAGGCACATCCCCTGCTTACAGAAAGATAAATAAATCCTTTCTGGCTGTAGCAGAGGCAGCTTCTGGATGGCCTTTTACAGGCCCACCTTCCCACAGCAGAGCTCCCTGCTGGCCCACAGTTTGGCTGCGTGGTCAGTGACCTAGATCACACGCAGGTATCCTTCAAGCAGAGCAACTGGACTCTGTTACTGATTAAGTCCCTGTTCTTGAACTGAACTGTCCCTCTGCTCCCCCAGTTTCTCAGTGCACTGCAGTTGCTCTTGCAGATTTTCTATCTGCTAAAGCTCCTGTTATCACTGCCAAAAGCTCTTTAGGTCATTTTCCTGTCAGATCTCCAGGCTTAGTCTGAGTTGCTTCTGGTTGCTGTCTGAGTGTGAGCTCTAAAAAGTAAGTCAGGATGGTGGCATCCTGTTCTGTGCCAAAATTCAGTTGTAATTCTTGGCATGAAGAAGCTACTTTGCTACTGGAAAACAACGGCCCTGAACGTGATCGCTAAAGATGTATTACTTTTCAAGTCTGATATGGTTGAAACCCAATGCCCTGGTTAGATTCCAGACTGTCTGATTACATTCTGCTGACTTAAATGTACTTCCATTAAGTTAAATTGTGTTCAGCATTTTCCTGCTTTCTAATTGGAACCACTGTTAGCAGATGCTGTGCTCCACCCCAGCTGTACCAGGTTTTGATCCCTGATTAGTCCCTATTTCATGTATTCTTCTTGATATGTAACTGATGCTCTCAGGGTGCAAAATACTCTGCAAATATCAGTTTTTCATTAAGGTTCTCAGAATTCTGCCACTTTTGTAGTGTCTTGTGGGGAAAAATCTTCCATCAAAGAAAAAGCAGATTTGTTCTTTGAGTCCCTTGATTTCCCCTCATCCACACCCCTTGATTCTCCCCCCCCTCCCCACATTTTAGGTGCTTGGTGTTGTCTCATAGTGGGTTCAGGTCACAGGGCTCAGTTCCAGCTGTAGCAACAGAGGGCTGACCTTCTGTAGGTTTTTGGTTGTTTTGAATCTAAGGGTGCTCAGTACTTTGCACCTACAGAAGAGGGGAGGTTGTTGGGACTTCCCTCCACTATATAATACCAGATCACTGGTGCTACACAGATCTCTCGGTTAAACCTGATGAGTTTACTGAAGCCACACAGCGTGCACCTCAGTTCCCATTGCCTGTTGAAGTGGTGTAGTGAAGGCTCTGGCATTTCCGTTCACTTCTCTGTCCTCCCTCCAGAGCACGCAAGATCCCCATAATCATCCGTCGTTACCTACCAGATGGGAGCTATGAAGACTGGGGTGTGGATGAGTTAATTATCACAGACTGATCAGCCTCCAGCTATTGTTTTGGTTCTTTCCTTCTCCAGAGATGTTTCTATTTTTGTTTATATTTGTGTAAATAAATTATAAACCTCCCCATTTTAAGTTAAATGTGGTTTTTTTGTTTGTTTGTTTGTTTGTTTTCTCCCACCTTCTTTTTCATCTCAGTCCTACATGCCCAGAGAAGACTTCCTTACTTCTCTCTACCAGCTTGGTCATTATTCTTTCTGTATCATGGGCTATATTGGTAAGATTGGGGAGCCAAGTGCCATGCTTTTCTCTTGTTTTTTTCACTTGCGAAGGCCGTACCTTTTAGCTAGGCTAAAGATTGCAGTAACTTCCTCCTCTTCCAGCTGTGCTCCTCCTCAGTTATAGGACCAATAACCAGTTAAACTCCTGCTGTACAAAAATGTTCTTGCAGGTACTTCGGCTTCAGAAAGACTCCAGCCCTCCACCCCTGTCCCATCTTAAAACAGGAGTGCTGAGACACCTCCGTTGCTTCCCCCTAGACAGCTGGGCCTTTGTGCCCTGAGCAGGTTGCTGTGGAAACCCCCAATTTCCTCTCTGGCCGGGCCTGGCTGTGGGGCTTCTCAGGGGTATCGTAGAGCAGCTCTCATCAAATCACCTATTGTTTCCCTGCTCCTGCTGCTTATCAGAGGTGGGGATCCCCTTTCAGTGGCACTGCCCCAGCCGGGAGCGCAAGATCCCCATAATCATCCGTCGTTACCTACCAGATGGGAGCTATGAAGACTGGGGTGTGGATGAGTTAATTATCACAGACTGATCAGCCTCCAGCTATTGTTTTGGTTCTTTCCTTCTCCAGAGATGTTTCTATTTTTGTTTATATTTGTGTAAATAAATTATAAACCTCCCCATTTTAAGTTAAATGTGGTTTTTTTGTTTGTTTGTTTGTTTGTTTGTTTTCTCCCACCTTCTTTTTCATCTCAGTCCTACATGCCCAGAGAAGACTTCCTTACTTCTCTCTACCAGCTTGGTCATTATTCTTTCTGTATCATGGGCTATATTGGTAAGATTGGGGAGCCAAGTGCCATGCTTTTCTCTTGTTTTTTTCACTTGCGAAGGCCGTACCTTTTAGCTAGGCTAAAGATTGCAGTAACTTCCTCCTCTTCCAGCTGTGCTCCTCCTCAGTTATAGGACCAATAACCAGTTAAACTCCTGCTGTACAAAAATGTTCTTGCAGGTACTTCGGCTTCAGAAAGACTCCAGCCCTCCACCCCTGTCCCATCTTAAAACGGGAGTGCTGAGACACCTCCGTTGCTTCCCCCTAGACAGCTGGGCCTTTGTGCCCTGAGCAGGTTGCTGTGGAAACCCCCAATTTCCTCTCTGGCCGGGCCTGGCTGTGGGGCTTCTCAGGGGTATCGTAGAGCAGCTCTCATCAAATCACCTATTGTTTCCCTGCTCCTGCTGCTTATCAGAGGTGGGGATCCCCTTTCAGTGGCACTGCCCCAGCCGGAAGCGTGGTCGCCACTCGTGGTCCCACCAGTGCAGCAGTCGTAGGTTGTTGCTGCGTTTGCTCCTCTTTCAGCCGTTCTCTGATGTGCGGTTGGAACTGATGGTCCTGAGTGTGCAGGTGCTCTTCAGCCATCTCAGTTGTGCATACACTGGTGGTTCCTACAGTGGCACAACAGTAGGTAAATCCTAGAGTTCCTTTAATCTGTAGTGTGATGAAAGATCAGTCGTTTGTCCCCTTAAGGCACCTGCACTCCTGCCTCTGATGTGCAGGGAGTTTTACGCCCTCAGATCAAGAAGAGTTGGGGGGATGCTTCACAGTTTGCGGGGACCTCCAGCCAGCCAGCCACTACCTGGTTTCCGTTTCTTGATCTTCTGTGTACTCCAAGGTTCTTGCTCTGCATGAGGAAGATTGAGCTCTTGGGTAGAAAACATTGAGTCTTTCTCAATTGTCTTATTAAAAAGTGCCCATGGAATTTTTGTTTTTAAATAAAGAGAAGAAGAGGAAAGATGTGCCTATGGTTTCTGCTTTACACTGATTTTTCTCTTTATGCTGGTCCAGGAAGAATCTTTCCAGCTAGTTGGTGTTAAAGCTTGTGCTTATATATAAAGTGTGTGTTCTCTGTGCTGTATGTGTGGTCGGTGTCTGCAGATGCGAATCCATATCCCACAGGGAGTTTATATCCACCTGCCTGGGAACTCAGCTCATATAACGTAGCCATGAATGCCATTCTCTTACTGCTCCCTGTGAAAGCACCAGTCCAGCCTTCTTCTGTTGGTACGCATAGGAGGAGCTGGTTTTGGAGGCAAGAATGCAAGAGCTGAATGGATCCACGGGCAAAATCACAGGTCAAAGGGAATGTGGAGACACTTGCAGGTGTGGGAAGGGGGTTGACTGCGAGGTACACAAGTGCTTCCTGGTCCAGGCCATCCCTACCAAGAAAAGGTTAATTTGCAGCACTGTGGCCTTCAGCCTTCTCCCCCCACCCTCCATGGAATCCTTTAATCACGTTGGTGCGGTGAAATTTCAGCCCTGAAATGGTGCCTTTGTGCAATCGTTTTGGCGTCCGCCATGGAGCGCGGGGTCGTTTTCTTGTCCTTTTTTTTTCTTTTTTTTAAATGGCTTCTTTGTTCCCTACCGGACTCCCCTCCCCAGCCTTGCATCTGTATCAGATACGATTAAAGGGATAGGGAAGGATGCCGGGCCAGCTCCTGCTAGGCTGCAGGAGGAGTGGTTAACCCCTCTGTTACCAGTGGTATTCTCAGTCCTGTCTTAGTTGTGAGGACCCTTCTAGATGAGAGGAGGCATCCTTTTCCACTAAAGAACAGTAGAGGTAGAGCCCACTTGCTTTCTTAATTTACTTTTTGAAGAGCTGGAACAGGTACTTGTGTGTGTTTAAGAACTTTCTTTGCCAGATCTTCTGTTCGTCCATACCGTGTCCCTTCTCTCTCCCAGCCCTGTGATCAGCTCTCCTACCCCTAACTCCACCCTGGCTTCCTTCTTCCTCACGTGTGCTCCTGACCTGCTCAGCAGTGCAGTAGTTCCCTTCTGGACTCTTCCCACAGCCTGTAATTTGGGGTAGAGATTACTCCTCTCCAGCGAATGGCCAAAGTCCTGCTTTGCTTAGAGCTCTTTAGCTGGCATCACCATTGTCAGATCCATTAAGCCATTCTGCTGCTCATGCTCTTGGCCTTATACAGGACTTCATCTGAATAGTGCTGTGAGCTTTAAAAAGCTTTGAACGTGTTCCACAGTTCTTAGACGTCCTGCTTACCCTGCTCACCCATGAAACTCACTGGATTGATCCCATGCGTCTGCACCGAAACCTTTAGAATCAATTTGGAATTGTTGCGGACTCTGTGTTAATTGGGATCCTACCTTGCTACCATTGGCCTTGAGAGAGATTCTTAAGCAGACTGGTACCTGCTGTACACTTTCTTTCCAAACATCTTCAGATAGCCTCCCAGGACCGCACTACACCCAGGATGTCTTCTTCAACAAGTAAGAAGGTGCATACATCTATTCTCGAATGAACCCTCTCTGTGTGAGTGTGTGCATTTGTATTTAGGTTCTTGCTTGTGGAAGACGAGAGGCCAGGGGGAAGAGTTTCTGCGGAGAAACTAATGGTCGCTTCCACAATAGACAAGTTGGGGGGGGGGGGGGTGGGGATATTTGGGTGGAAGGGAGGGGGAGTTTTTTTTGAAGGTATGTCATCTGCCACCTGGTGATGAGGAACCCCACACTCCTATTCTGAAGAGTATTAACAATCACACTAAGAAATTTTTGGGTGAGGCATGTGCAAAACAGTGCTTTTCTTAATTGCACATGCTGAATCTTAGCTGAAGACCAGAGATCAGTATTACTACATTTCTCACTGAAGAAATGACTGGAGCTGATGTGTGAACAGAAGATGAGTCTCATCTCCGTGAAGGGGTCTGGTAAGCCAGTCAGAGTTCTGCCTGTGTCCTCTTCATGAGAGGCAGAGGAAGGCTGTGCACAGGATCTGTGCGGTGGTGGTGTGACCCATCATATGCTTACTGGGGGAAAAAACAGACTTTCAGGAAAGAAGTCAAAAAACCCGTGGCACATGAAAATGAAACTTTTAAGTTTATTATTCCATATGTTTAATGCAGAGTTAATGGTGCTAGGACAGCATAGAGACTGGGGAAAGGGAGGTGGGGGAGGAAGGTGCTACTTGCATAAATAAGGGGACAGGGCTGGAAGAGGTTACATGTGTACAGGGAGCAAACATTCTACATGATCTTTTCAGACACCACAAGGAGAAGTCATCCATAGCTAAGGGAGGCAGGAAGGGCATCTGACAGTCATATCAGCAGAGGGAAACAGCGGCACTGATCACAGTCCATGTTTGGTCAAAGTATGTTACCTTTCTAGACTGGAATATCCATTGGAAGGTCCCACAACATGTCTCTGCAATCAGTTGCCAAGGAGTCATCTTTTCCTGCAGTAACTTTTGTGCCAGTTCACTCCCTGGCATGACAAACCACCCCAGTCCTGGAGGTGACAAAGGAGAAGTAGGCAGACTGTCCTCAGGTGTTGGGCTGAAAAAAGGAGGTTGATCTGACTGCGAAAGCTGGTTGTTTCCAATTTGAAACCCAAGGGGAAAACGAATTCTTTTGCACCCAAATAGGCTTATTTTCTTTACAGTCTTTCAGCACTGGGTGCGTGTCTACCTTGCTTAAAGCTGCAGGAGTATCTTTCCATCTTCAGCGAAGGTAGGAGGGAGGTGTTGACTGGAAGACGTAATGAACAAATGAGCGGCGATGCACACCCCATCAGCCTGAGTTTGGAGTGGAGATTCAAAGAGAGTATTGGAATCAACTCGGGGTGTTGGTAAGTGCATAGTAGCTTTCTTGGTGCCTCTTTGTTTCAGGCAGGCACAGTCAGACATGGAAGAGCAAGGACCAAGTTTGCTCAGAGGTTGGTTGGGATACTGAAGAGATCAGAAAAGACTGAGATGCCAGAAACACCAGACATAAATGAACGATACAGAGTAATTGTAAGAAAGGAGGATTCACCCACAGCACCTTAATGATCTACCAGTCCTTCCCCACCTCTCCTACACCTCCATACATGAACATGCGTGCGCACACAGGCTATGATATGAGTAACGCTAAGACCAGCAACACGGTTCCTGAGTCCTACACGTTGTTCAGGCAAGCCTTAAAATCTCCAGAGAAGCAAGCGTAGGTTGGTCTTCCAATGGAGTTCAAGATTCATGCATGTGTGAATCTTAGGCAGGACTGCTGCACGATGCTGATCGCAGGGAAGCCGGCCATGCCGTCCTCCCTACTACTCCTCCCAGAACATGTTCACCAAGGCTGAGCAACCACCCTTCACCTGCAGCAGGTGACAAAGTGTTGGCTGTTGTCGCCTGTTGGAAACACTTGCTAACTCCCTGGAGCAGTTTGGGGAGGGGAAGGAAAGGACAGTCTCTTTCATGGTACAGTCCAGGGTGTGCACAACGAAACCCACCACGGATCAGTCACTCCATGTCTAGAATCCTCCTCATCTAGAAGGCCAATAAGGTGTCGCAAGCCAGTTGTGTGGCCTGCGTGAAATTGGTAAAGGGCAAAAGGACGAAAAACCTTCCTCTAGGCGGGTGAGCCAGCGATAGCCGGGGTCAAGAAAGGCACTTCTGTATACTCAGTGGGTTCTGGTGGCTGGATGGCACTGAGTGACCTCGGAGTTCGGAGGCTCTTCTGCCTGTGCTGATTCTTCGGAGCCTTTCCGTCGCTGCTTCGGTCACCATTCCCCATTCCCTACGGTCTGGAGAGAGTCGTATACACGGGCTGTTCCCAATGTGTGGGGCTATGGGACTGTGGCACAGAGGGTGCAGGGTCAGAGATGGCAGTGTAAAGGGGACGTTGGGAAGGTCCCATATAGGAGAAGGCAGAGTAGAGGCCAGAGGCTTGGCTGGAATGGCTGTAGTAGGGTCCCGAGGGCTGGTGGTCTGGGTAGTCAAACTGGGGCCTGGAGATGGAGGGGAAGGCCGAACCGTAGTGGGGCAGACTCAGGGATGTGTAAGCTATCTGGGAGGTGGAGGGCTGGTCGGTGTAATGACCTCCAGGGGTGGACCCCTCTGTTTTCACCTGGGCCTTGGAGTCTACCACCGATGAGGTGGCAGTGGACAAGGAGACTCCATGCTGCTTGGAGATCCAGGCAGAGTGTCCGCTGGCTGCAGCCAGGGCGCTCCCGAGGCCATAGCCAGCAGCCGCTGCTGCTGCGTAGCCCCCAACATGGCCTGGGTGGCCGGCGTGTCCGTTGGGCGGCAGGTATTGGTCGAATTCATTGACATCGAAGGTCTCCATGTTGGACATCACTTCATGGCTGATCTCCCCAATGTCCACATTGCCAAAGTCAATGTGTGGCTTTCCCCCTTCCCCCAGGGAACGCCCTTCTCGTTTGGAGTCGGCTTTGCCTGCCTGCAGCTCGGTTTTAGGGGTGGTAGGAGGTGTGGGGGGCCCATGGCTCTGACCTACAACATGAAAAACATTTTGAGGAGGAAAGAGAGAGAAGAGGTGAGTTACCGCTTTATGCCTGGGCTTTATACACACGCCAGCTCCACTCCTCCCAGTTTGCCAGCAACTGTCCAGCTGGAGACTTCAGTGGAGGGAGAGAGAAACAGCCAGCCAAAACCAAACCTTTTTGTATCGTGGAAAAAGAGGGAGGGTGCAAGGATACCCTGCCTGACCACAGGAATGCAAGTGCCCACGAAACTGGGGCACATCCCTATACTGCTGACTCCAGCAGAGTTTGGTGGGTCACGAGCAAGGTGTGAGCCACGCTGCTAAGGCTTTCACCATGATGACTTGGGGTTTTTGAGCCTCCAAGTTGGCTGCAACCTGTCAGTAGTTTCACTGAGACCTGGGACTCACCTGAGGAGTGTTCTGGGTGTCCATCGGACATGGGTGACCCTTCACCGGGATGCCTGTGATCCAGGTGGGCGTTCTTGTAGTGGGCCTGGATGGCGGCAGCCCCGCCAGCCTCCCCCTCCACCTGGCCTTCAGCCTCGCCCTGCGTGGCCTTGCCGTTTTTCCGGCGGCGAGGCTGGTACTTGTAATCAGGATGGTCCTTCTTGTGCTGCATCCTCAGCCGCTCCGCCTCTTCGATGAAGGGCCGCTTGTCGCTTTCATTCAACAGCCTGCAGAGGCCAAGGTGGTAAAGAAGAGAAGAGGGGAAGGAAAGGGGCAGGTACGTCAGAAAAAAAACCCTAAAACACCTATACACAGCCTCGTGGGACACAGCATGTAAATCCAGATGTCCAGGTGTTGCCCCGTGGCCATTGAGGGCATTTCCCAGAGCAACAAGGGAGAGCTTGGTAGCATTTCAGTGGAGACAGCCATGTCTTCCTCCTCCTCGTTAATTAGTAAGCCTTGACACTGGTTGGTGGCAGCGTTGGGTCCCCCCTTCCCCAGCTGCGTGATGTTTCTCACCTCAGTGGGTTCAACACCCTCTCTTAGATGCCCAAAGGCAAAGCACAGCCTTTCAGAGCCAAGTGAAATAAAGCTGGACAAGCTGCTTTCAAAGACTTTGGGCAAATTAAGGGCAGTTGGGATCATCCTTCGGACTAAGGCAGTGTGGCACACCCTTGCTGCATGTAGGGCTGCCCCCCGCATGCCTCTTGCTCTTCCCCAGACTATTTATTCCAGTTTAACCCCCCACCCTTCTATAGGCTCTGCTCCAAGTTTAAGGCTCTACTGAGCACAAATGGCAGCAATTGGTATTGGCTCCGCAGTACCCATGTTGCTGCGTGGAGCTTGCTGGGCCTTTAAGCATCTTGCAATATCCCAGAAGGAAATCAAAGAAAATTTCCAAGTGGGGAAACAGCATATTCTGCTATTCCTGGCGCTCCTGCTCACCTTAGACATGGATAATGCAAAAGGCTGAAGCACGAAGGACCAGCCATTCTTGAACTTAGCTGAGCAGTTGTAAAAAATTCAGCTGCTACGTTGCTAGCCTTGTAGAAATAGATGAGCTTTGGTCTCTGGATGAAAGGCGCTGCAGAAATGCAAGCTCCTTCTCTGTGTTCCTGCCAGATCACGGGCTGCTCTACTTAAGCCAGGCTCTCCGAGGAAATGGTGAAATGTGCGGGCAGGGTGGCTCAGAGCACTCGGAGGTGAGATCAACCTCGTTGCTCAAGCCCTTAGCAGTGTCTTGGCTGGAAGCACTTCAGTTTTGGTTTATGATTTTTCCTCTCAAATATTCTTGTGACTCAAGGTCATCCTGCTTCCAACGAGAAACCAGTGCCCTCAAGAAGGGACCAGGCTTCCCGTGACTTGCAAAGCCAACAGCCATTAGGAATGACCGGGCTCGCAAATGGCAAAAAATACTCCATTTATGAGATGCCCACGCCTTTTTCTCCCCAACAAAGGAAATACCTGGGGATGGGGCTGTGCCAGCACCTTGGTACCCCCGAAGCCCTTAGCACTAAAATGTGACCAATTCTGTTAAGCTGGAGGCACTGAGGGGGATACAAAGGCCAGAACCGGCCTGAAAAACTGAGGATGAAGAGGCGTGGCCCAAAGAGCACAGAGAGAAAAACCTGGCGGGGGATCGAAGGGGTTGCCAGCAGGTAATGGGAGGGTTCCCGTGGGGAATGGGGTTCCTAAGCACCCCATTTCCCCCTGCTCCTTGTGCATCCCCTCGGCCGGCAGCCAGAGGGTGTGGTGGCACGGGCTGGAGCCCGTTTTCGGTGCTGACCTGGGTTCACTCCAGGCAGCCTGAGCAGGTCGCGGCTGCACACCGCATTCCTCCACTGCCTTAATCCCGGAGATTAAAGCAACTGAGCCACCGTGAATCCAACACCAGCTTTCCTGTCTCCCTCCTGCCACCGTACACCACGTTCACACATCCCAGAGGGCTCTGATCCCTCAGCCTGCACTGCTCCAGATGGCTCTCCAAGGGGTCCAAAGGGACATCATGGCCAAGCCTTGTAGGCATTGTGGACTGGAAGGTGACCTTGCCTTGGCAACACCTCCATCCTTGCAGAATGCCCCATCTCCACAGGAGATGGAGAACAGAGGCAAAGCCTGCAGCCTTGCAACCCAGGACACTTCACTACAAGGCAGCCAGGCTCTGGTGTCCCTGCGCTCCCAGCCCAGATGGTGCTAAACGGAACAAGATGCTGTGGCTGGGAATGAAAGGTCCCTTTCCATGTGGGCACTTCTCGGAGCGAGAGGGCTGTAGGCTGTGCAGCCAGCTTTGATCTGCAGGGCACACTGCACGCTGAGCTCAGAGCAGAGCCTCCCATGGAGACCGAAGCTCAGCCTCCCTGATCCGTCTCGTGGATGGCGTGAACCAGAGCTGCTCAAGGCTGTGTAGGAGTCAGATCCCTGCCCTTTGAGCTATGCCCGAGTGCCTCACCTCCTCGCCTCTTGACCGCAGCCCACAGGCAGTGCCACCAGCAGGACAGCAGCAAGCCCACTCCCCGTGTCTTTGCCTTCTTTCCAAGGCTGCCTGCTCCCTCCTTCTGGGATCAGAGCTCAAATCGGCTTTAGCAAAGTGAAACTGGTGCGAGCAGGCAAAGGCCAGGAGATTTGGGGGGATTTGTATTTCACTTGCTTCCTGCCCTCCCCCTCCTGACCCCCACGCTCCCCAGGCCATAATGCAAAGGAATCTCGCATGGGCAGAGAAGTTATGGATCACAGAGCAAAGCCCTTCATGGGGCTTAACCGAGCCCTCCCCACCCTCCCCGACACCAAATGCTCACCCCCGAGCCGAGGGGAGAGGGGCAAGCATCCAGCGCCCCGCTCCGGGAGGAGAAAGAAGGGCTAAAATCTTTCTGCCCGCCTCTTGCAGCCTCCCCATCTGCCGCGATGGGGCTGGGCATCGGGGCTGGTGCAAGGCGAGGGCTGGCTGGCAGCAGAAAGCAGCCGGGCGGGCTCTGCTACACGTCCACAGCCTCGGATTTGGTGGGCATGACCCTGTTCCCTGGGTGCTGCCACCCCCATGCAAAGATCCTTCCATCGGGTCCCCTCGCTCCTCCCTACCGAGCCTTCCTCCCCTTGTTCCCAAGCCTCCCTTGTTTTCGGCCCTGGAGGTGGTGCTGGCTGGCATTTTGGCTGAGAGTCATGCCGACATTTTCAGCCGCTGGCCTCCATTTCAGAGCTGCTCCCTGTCCCACCCCGGGGAAGGAAAGCAGCCAAGGCAAGATTTCATGACCATGAAGTACAGGAACCCTCCTTTCTTCTTTTTTAGTACATTGGGTTTGTCACCTGCACCCCTCACACACCCTAAGTGGGTACAGACCGGGGGAGGTGGATGAGGCCACGAGCTCTCTGGCACCGCTCTTGGGGCCGGGTGGGTAGCACAGCCATCGGGGCATGTCCTGCAGCTCTTTCCAACAAGGGCTGGGGCCTGTGGAGGACATGGCAGTGGGACAGAGCCGGAGCAAATGCTGGGCTTAAAAAAAAAAGCTCAGGCCATTAAAGCCCATTTTGCAGAGGAGTACATAGGATGGCACTGAGGTTTATCACTCAATCTGCTAGCTGCCTTTCAAGAAGATTTCCCAGCCTCTGCCATCCCCACCCAGCGCCGATCGCTGGGGACACGCTGAGTTCAATGGCGGTTTGCAGGCAGTCTCCATGCTCACCAGCGCTCGTCTCTCTGCCTAACGTGCCCTTTATCTGCATCAGCTCAGAGCAGCCCACATGGAAATATGTCACCCACATTCTCCAAAGTGACTAGCGATGTAGGCTGTAGGGTTTGGGTGGCCACCTTGTAAGGGTGGGGATACGCGACCAGCCAGGGCCCTTTGCAGGGACCCTCGCCAAATCTTTGAGACTAAGCTGTCCAGAGCAAAACTCGGCTGCTTGCAGTTGTACTGACGGGTAGGAGCTATGCCCTGGGGACAGCGTAGATGAGGGCAGTGGGAAACTCAGTGGAGGAAGATCCAGCTGTACGGTGGCTGGAAGGCAAGGCTCAGGGCTACTACCCTGGTAACTTTTGGACCACATCCCCTGGAGTTCTGTGGGCTGATATTTTCCCCCAGCCTCACAGAAAGACGTGGTCCTACCCAGGCCAGACACCGACTGCACCCATAACCCATCTTATGCTGCTGTATGATCCCCACAGGGGCTGACGTGGCTCAGAGAGCCACAGCCTGCACTTGGGACACTCAGAGAGGAGACATGTTCAAGCAAAGCAGCCGGGTGGCAAACCCAGCAGCATGCAACAACCCCGGGCCTCATCGCGAAAGCTCTCCTGCCTGACCCACGCTCCCTGGCCACGCGGTGCCCTACGAAACACCTAGGGACCTGGACCATTGTCTGGCAGCAGCGCCCCCCTGCTCCAAGTCTCATGCGGCCGGCGGTGGGAGCCGTGCCCTTGGGAGTGGGGAGGCAGTTGGGTGCATGAATGTGGCCATGGGCTGGGATCTGTGTCTCTCTGTGCTCTGAATACAGTATCTACAGGGGGTTTCACTGCTCTGCTATATTTTCAAGGGAAATGAAGTGTCCGGAGGGAGGTCGTTGCTCTAAAATCTGGCAATATCTTGCAATAAAGGAACGATACCTTAAAATAACACTTTGGGAACAAAAGAGGTGGGTTCCCCCCACCCCTTCCAGCATAGGTTCACAGTCCGGAGTCTGGCAGCAGAGCCCCAGGCGGGAGCAAGTGCCATGGTAAAGGGAAGGGAAGGCAGCGGGGAACAAAGCGGGAAAGGATATCAGATGAGACATCTGCAATCACGCCCTGCTTTCGACTTCCCAAAGAAATCCCTTTGCTGGGCTTACACTAAACACCGGCACGGCAGGGTAAACGGGCTGATGTAGCAGGGGGAGAAGCTGATGCCCGCAGGCTTGGTGGCTTGAAGCCAGGAGGAGACCTGGGCATCAGCTGCTGGATGGGGTGTGTTTTGCTTCTGCTTGGAAAAACGTCTCTTGGCCCACCCAAGGTTGAGGGCTACCTCTACGATATGCCATCAAGGCAGGAGAGGGAACGAGAGTGACCTTTTGCATGAGCCTTGGTTTGCGTTGGTTGGTGCAAAGCGAGCGGGGGGTCAGTGCTGGGGACTTGTGGCAGAAAGTGTTTGTAACAGGTTGATGGGGTTATCGGCAGAGACCGCCAGGTGGGAAATAGGTGGCAGGGCCAGCCTGATGAGCTTGGCTTGGGCACGATGGCTCTCTGTATACCCACAGGCCAGCTGCAATGAGGGCAGCCCATCGGTCTGCTAGGGGAAGGAGGAGTGGGTTGGGGAGGGTACATAAAGGACTCAGTGATCTGCATGAAGCCAAAATGAAAATGGGCGCAACAAACTGGTGAGGCCAGAAGGACGAGCATGTGTGTGCCAGCGAGAAGGGAGGACATCTCTCTGGGTGCAAAGGGAGATGGGGCTGGTTGGAGCCAGCGTGGTGCAAGAAACCCTGCTAAGGCTGGGACAGTTGCAAGTCTCTTCCTTTCTGCTAAGCCTCAGCCCTCCTTTCTAGCAGGTTCCCTCCTTGTCCATCTCACCGCACCTGCATGCCCTGCCAGAACTGGGACTGTCCTGGGAAGGATGGGTGAGGGATTCCAACCGCCTGGCTCCCTTCCTCTGACCTTCCTCCTCAGCCATAACTTAGTTTCCCACTCGCTCTGAGGCACTGCCCTGAAAATAACCCCTGTTGGCTTGAGGCAGTCACCAGTGAGTCACGCTGGATGGGGCTCAGCCTGGTTCCTGCTAGTGCACAACTTGGCCCAACAGAGAGGGTGAGCCAAGAAAACAAGATGTCCCCTGGCAGTCAAGCGGGAGAGAACCAGGACGAGAGTGTCCTGGTCAGGAACAACAGGTGAAGTTAATGGGAAACATGTGATAGGGGCTGCTGCCCAGGATGAAGGTGAGCTCTGCTGAGGAAACCTTCACTACATCCAACTACCATGCTTGCCCCGGTCACCGACAGTGCCTCGCCTTCTGTGAGGGGGCTCCCTGCAGGGAAGAAGTCCCCTCAAGGGACATCCCTTCCATCCCACAAACTCTTCATCCTTCCACCTGACCACAGAGTCCTCTTCAGGACACCTCCAGACCTCAGACCTCACACCCCCCTTCTGCCCGCCCGCTCTTACCTCCAGAGCTTCCCCAAGGTCTTACTGAGCTCGGCATTGTGGAGGTGAGGGTACTGGTCAGCCAGTTTCCTCCGGGCAGCCTGTGCCCAGACCATGAAGGCATTCATGGGCCGCTTGACGTGGGGTTTGCTCTTGTTACTTCCATTGACCCGGACGGGCATGGGTACCAGGGTCCAGTCATAACCGCTCAGCACCTGGCTGACGGCCTCGCGGATGCACACCGGGAATTTGTCGTCGTCCGCCTCCGAGTCTTGCTGTTCCTTCTTGACCTTCCCCATCTCCCCGTTCCCAGAGCTGGTGAGGTGCGGGGAGTTGTCTGATGCCATGGAGGGTCCTGGCGAGAGGCAGTGGTGGTCTTCAGAGCCCACCGGGCTCATCTCCACCTCCGAAAGGTCTTGGTCGTCAGCCATTGTTGCTCTTGAGCCCTCTCTCTCTTCCTTCTCGGTGTCCTTCTTCTCACTGGGGAGGGCAGAAGACAAAAGCAAAGGAAAGAAAGGAAAGAGAGGGGAAAAAGAGAGAAAAGGAGAAGCAACCACCAAATCTGAAAAGGACTCCAAAGTCTCTGAAGCGCTGACCACGAGACAGGGGCCACTCAATAAAAGCGCAAGCAAAGCAATTGCCGTGCACACCGCAAAACTCATGATCGATGGGGGTGGATTGGGGCCCCTGATTAATTGGGATATCGCTTCCTATCTCTGCAATTGTCAGGAGCTGACATATCTGGAGGGGTCTGTGGCAAGAGGGATAAGAGGGGCTGGGGACCTGAAAGAGAGCGGCATGGACCATCCTATCCAGACGCAGCTCCCCAGGGGGATTGGGATGGAGGGCATGGCCACAAAACTTGTGTGGGGAAATGCCCCTTTCTTTTGAAGACAGACAGTGAAATGCCAGCATGGTGCCTGGGGGGAGGCATGGGGAGGGAGCACTAGAACCGTATTGATAAAACAGAGGGACCTATATCCCGGCTACCATGGAGGCTGAGCAGGCGGCACCACCAGGCAGGGAACCAGCCCGGGCCCCGGGTCTGCACCCGGAGACCCTGATCCCGGCTGTGGGAAAGCGCCTCTGCGGGGACACCCCATCCCTCACCTTCGTCTCATAAACCAAAGACTTAAAATGCATCTACATTGCATCCCCCCCGCCCCCGCCCATCTATGTGTATGTATGCATATACATATTCGCATTTTATATATATATACACACACATACAGATACAGATACAAAGACAAACGAAGTCTAACTTTGAGACAAGCCAAGGCTTTGGGTTGCCTGCCCCACACACTCCTCCTCTCTCCTTCAGTCTCGCAGTCACCTCTAGAAGTCCCGGCTGCCATGCAGCAGTTCCCCCCTTGGAGAAAGAAACACTCTAAAAATAAAGGCCTCTCTATCCCCCCCATCCAGAAAGACAAAAAAGAAGAGAGAAATTAGAAAAAAAGAAGTGAGAGAAAAGCATGCCTCTGGCTTAGCTGAAAAAAAGCCAACTCAGAGCAAGGGCTGTGATCCCTCCAGTTTCAGAGGGCAACGCAGACCCTCGCCAGTGAAATCAAAAAAAGTAAGAGAAAGTAAGGGGGGAAAAGCACAAGCGAACGTGCGTGCGCGCGAGAGCAAGCTCAGGTAGGAAAACTTACGTTGCTGGCTGGCGTGCCAGGCAGATCCTGCGAGGGCTGTGATTTGTATCCCAATAGCCCCCCTGGTCTCCCTCCCAGCCCCGGCAGCGTCGGGGCGCGCGGTGCAGGGAGGCTCTCAGGCGAGTGCCATTCCTAGAGGGAGGCTTGGTTTTTACTAATACCCCAGCTGGATGTCTCTAGCTGGCTTTGCTGCTTAGCACCGGGGGAGGGAAGGGCGGAAGGTGGAGCCAAGCACTCCTCAGAGCCAGAATACAGTCAGTCGGGGACGGCGGGGAGGGGACGCAGGCAGCCCCCCACCCCACCTCGGCCGCCGGCACGTTCCCTGCTTTCCCCCGGTGCCGGCTTCTTCACGAGAGCTGCCAGCCTTGGGCTGCTCTCAGCGGCGTGGCCGCTCCAGAGATGGTGCTGAAGGATTCAACCCTGGGGGGTTTGGGGTGGTGGGGTGCTGGAAGGGGTCTTTGAGGAGATGGGTGTGCACCTCAGGACTGGGTTCCCCCTCCTTCCCCCTGCTAGCACGGTTGCTCCTGCTGGGTCTGGTGCCCTCCATGTACCAAATGAGTCCCTGATCCCCGTCACAGAGTCTCGCAGGGACCCTGCTGTCCTGCAACAAGTTGGCCCAGGACCCTGGGGTCAAGATGCTGCCAAAAGGGCATCCTCATTCAGACCTGAGTCTGCGGGATGGGGAAGGGAATGCAGGAGGTCAGGGGCATCCCGAGGATAGAGGACATCAGGTCCAGGGAAAATACTGTGCTGCTGGACAATAGATACCAGCTTGAACCTTCTTAGGACTTTTGCACCCTAGGGATGGGCTTGTCACAACATGTTCATCTCTGTGGGGTCCTGCCAAGACAAGCAGGCTTTGCTTCCACTGACATGCTGAATTGCTCCTGAAGGCAAACGTGGGGTCTTTCACAAGGAAAGGGAGGTCTTGTGACAAGAAGGACTCTCTCACACTCACTCACCCTCATCCTTGCTGCTTGTGCACTGGGACACGTAGGGGATCTCAGTACTCAATGCGTTAGGATGTTTTCCATCACATCTTCCATTTTCTAGCTCGCTTTACTTCCCAGATGCCTCTGGTAGTTGGCTTCTTCAGTTTCCTTTGTCACCAGGGCTGGTATAGATCAACAGCAACCCTGTAATCATGAGAGGTCACACACAAAATATTTGGATCCTCCCAGGTCCTCCTCAGTTAGCAATGAGATAAACCTAGCTCCTGCCCCAGCTCCTTGCTGGAGAGCCAACCTGAACATGCTTCAATGCTAAGTCAGAAAATACGGAGAGATGAATGGATGTAACCCAGGGAACCAGTTTCAAGGGATTTCAAAAACATTTTTGACTCCTGTAGCAGATATTCACTCTCCAGAAACTTTGTGTTAGAAAGACTCAGAAAAACCACTGTCTGGCACCACATGAAGCATAAGGGAACCAGTCCCAAGGATGGTTCTGAGCACCTGAGCTAAAGCCCTCAGAGCAAACTTGTGGGACTGGTGGCTGCACTTGCAGACCTGGCTGACAGCATGGGGCCATTTCCCTCCATGTCTGCCGTTATCTGGAGTAACTAAAGCTCTGAAACCATAGGGTGGCTGCAGGGAAAACCTCACCGGAGGCCAGGGAGAAGTCTTTGCTGAACATTGCTGGGAGGGGGAACGGCTGCGCACCATGGGCATCAAGCAGGCAGAAGTGCTTAAAAGTGCCTCTTGCGTCCCTCAAAAAAACCTCTCAGGGGATCATCTCCTACCTTTCTTCTCTTTGACATTACCTACCCCAGAAAAAAGATGGGCTCAGATAATCTGCTTCACATGATGCCCTTTTCCCTTTGGAAGAGAGGAATGTGGGTGCCTTTCTCTTGGATGCCAAGAAAACCCAATGGAGAGCTTAGCAAAGCAGCATCGAGGCCCTGCTTCCTCGACCAAAGCAGCAGCTGGTGAACCTCAAGTCTTGAAGTATGGGATGAGTTCTCTCACCAGGAGACCCCAGTTGCGGTGGTTGTGAGAAGGTGTCTCGCAGCACAGACAGGGGCAATTGGGCAGCTCAACCTCTGTCTGGCAGACAGATAACCAGTGAAAATGAACGGGGCAAGGTGGCTTCATACAAAGCTGTCCATGGCCCACTGGATGCAAAGTCAATGATGCTGCAGAGCTCATGACATCTTCCCCCAGCCAGCAAGGGTCATCCTCAGGCTGCAGAGACCTTGCATGTGAGGTGTGGGAGAACTGGAAGGAGGGCATGGTTGGTCTCCTGCTCCACAGGGAGATAGCCACTGCCGAGAAACACTGCCCTGCTTGTTCCCCTGGCAGCAACCAATCTCCAACCTGGGGCAGGGAGGAAGAATGCCACATAAAATGGACAGAAAAGGGTGTTTATTTGCCCTCCCTTCAGGTGGCTGGTTCCTGTGGACACCATGGGAAAGAGATGGTGGGGCAGGGATTTCTTGTTTCCCTCCAGAGTGGGGATACAGGGTGCTGAGCATCAAGTGGTAGGGAGCGAGAAGATCCCCAATCAGGAGACAAAGGAGCTCCACAGGGCACTGAGAGGAGCTTCACAGCCTGTTTAGCTCATACCACAAATGCAGCTGCCTCTTGGCAGGCTCTGTGAGGAGAATGAGATGGTGTTTGACCCCAGCAAGTGGTGGGGCTCACATCTTCCTGCATGCCCGCAAGGTCTGAGTGAGCAGAAGGGAATCTGACCCACCACTTCCAACTGGGGCAGGAAAGGTATCAAACCCAGAAGGGATTTGAGAGACCCACAGGGCTCTGGACCAGTGCTTGTCCCACTGCTCACCATCCCCATCACGGGCCACTGCCACCTGCCAGGCAGGAGCCGGGTCCTGTTCATGCCTTGTTGGAAGGGCTGTGGGTGCCTCAGCTGCAGACAGGGACATCCTCAAAGGAGCATGTACTGGCCACACAGTCTCTGCAATCTGCAGTCTCAGTGTCTTCTCACTGTTTCCAGCTCCCTCTCACAGCAATGACTGCTTGTCTGTCCTTTTCCAAGACTCTGCTGTCCATGAGATATCTTGTCTCCTGCACTACAAAGAGGCAGATGCAGGAGGGAGCTCTGTGGAGGATACACCTCTGCTGCGGCAGGAAGAGGTGGGATGCTTTCTCTTCAGTTGAGGTGAGAAGACAGGCAGAGGGGAAGGAGGACACACCATCCCTGTTTCAGGAATCACTGGGGTGGCATGTATCTTCCTCCAGTGTCCCCTGGGAGACCTTTTTAGGGACAAGGACCCTCCAAGAGTGACCACTGGTCACAGCAGCTAACATTGCAGAAGTGGTCTTTCTAAAGGCAAGTCTTCCCAATGACTGGTCCCTGGGGAAATGCTCATATAGGAGGTTTCCACTTCTCCTCTTCAACATATATTTCTATGGATGAGGTGTTCCAGGACCATAAAAATGGACAGTCCTTTGCAGATGAAGGATTTACCACTGAAGGTGGTTCATGAGCCGGAGACCTTGCTAAGCCATGAATTTCCCATGACACATCAGTGAAACGCTTTCTTTGGGCCTCAGTCCCCAATATGCAAAGGTAGAAGGATGCTACTTCTCCACCATAAAGACATGTTGGGAGGGCAATGGGTAAAAGCGAGTGGGAAGAGGAGATGTCCCAACATGCTAGGCACCCCTGCATCCGCATGGCTCCCAAGGGCTATGGGAAAGGTGCCCTGCTCCAGGCTGGGTGCTCGGCAAGCAAGGTGCATCATTGCACAAGCAGGCAGGGGCACCTGCTCAGTAGGGTTTCAACGATGGGACCATGTTGGTGGGACCCCTCCACCACCAAGGTGGGACTGCTGAGGTTACCAGGGAAGGATTTTGCTAGATGACACCCATCCCCTGCACCCGTGGCAAGGGAGGAGTACAAGGGGAGAGCCTGACCACAGCAGAGGAGCTGCAGGATCCCCAGCGCGAGAGCCAGGGCCAGCTTTTGTCCCCTGCCCAGCTCGGGGGCACAGCACTGGTATTGTCCCAGAACTGCCTGGGAAAATGGGAGGGGTTCCCCGTGAAATCTTTCCATGCAGTAAAACA